AGAAAACGAAAGCCATTTATCTTCCTGTGAGCTTTATTACTTTCGGATTTATTTGGCTAATGGTCCAATAGCCCACTGGTCAGAATATCTGCATAACGAATACTTCAACTGATCCAAAAATACAATATTTGATCATATGATGTTGCTATTAAAGTTAAAGCAAGATCTGTGGCAATGGGTTATTACAGTGTCAAAAAGAGTCTTCAGAATATGTTATTCTTTTTAACTGACAAACTATGAGCTGCTGAGATTTACACACTAACAATTATCACCTGGCTTCTTTGCTATGGGATTGAACTAAATTTAGGGGATTCTGTTAATGTGCATTTCCTAAGCTGTATGTTCTCTGGACACATACTATATCCATCCTTATTTTAGACTGCCATTATTTTGAAAACATAACTAATTTCTTAGTGAAGAAAATACATTTCTTTCCTTCCTACTTTTTAAAATAGAATCATAGAATCATTAAGGTTGGAAAGACCACTAAGATCATATAGTCCAACTATCAACCCATGCCTGTGACTGCTCTAGCCCATGACCCTCAGTGCCACCTCTCCATGGTTCCTGAACGCCTCCAGGGATGGTGACTCCCCCACCTTCCTGGGCAGCCTGTTCCAATGCATCACCACTCTTTCTGAGAAGAAATTTTCCCCAGTATCCGACTTGAACCTCCCCTGTGCAACTTTAGGCCACTACACATCATCCTGTCACTGTTACCTGGAAGAAGAGGCCCACCCACACCTTGCAACAACCTTCTTTCTGGGAGCTGTAGTTTAAAAAATAGACTGAGGCATGATAAGTATTTGATTAACTGACTTGAAGAGCAAGAGTCTAAAAAGTACTGCACAACACTTAATGCTGATTTATAAGGGGAAATTCTAGCACTTTGCTTCGTTAAATTAACAAATGCAGTGAGGTTTTCTTAACAGAGCATTATTAGGATCTTTGGAAGAAGGTGCACACTGATCAGAAAGGTCTTGGTCTGGGTACAGAAAGGCCTGTCTGAGGGGTGCTGACTGGAGACCCCTCCGTAAGCACCTCCATGAGGGTCAGGTGAGGCTTACCAGAACATCTGGGGTAGTAATTTCTGCACAGAGATATCTTGCACCTCGCTGGTTCTTCTGTTGGTCATAGTTTGGATATATTCCCCCACTGATACATCCCCATCTCCACAGTGACCCACATGAGTCACACTCTAAATTATCAGTTAAATACAATATATAAAAAATGCCTTTTCCCCAAAGGGAAGTATCAAGGTTCTGTGTGTTCGTACAAGAAGGCTGTGCAAGGTGATACAGATACCTACATGCGTGTCACAGCAGGAGGACTCAGCTGCTCTGAAGCTTTTTCCTGTTCACTGTCACTAAGTCTACCACAAAGTCTTGGGCTTGCAGTAAATTGGGCTTGGCAGCTGGAGGATATTTGTGACTGTTGAGAGTCATTTATTCTGAATTTGTGTTTAATGACCTCTCAGCACAAAAGGTGGGGTTTTTTTGTTTGTTTGCTTGTTTTTAACACACTGGTTAAAAAAAAAAGACAAAAACCTTCACTTACTGATGTTTTACAGGATGAACATGCTGTCATGAACAAGTTGTAGTAAGATACACAGATACACATCACAATTGTTCTAAGGAATACAATTTTCTTGAAGGAATTTTTCAGTACAATAAAATCCCTTCAGGCAAGACCTACAAGCTCATTTTACAGTTATACTCTTCAGATTATCAACATGGGGAGAAGAATATCCTGCCTGTAAGACCTTAGTGCAGAACATGCAAAGGGTAAGTGATTTTTATTTGTTTATGCAATTTGTTAGGCTGCTATATGGAAATCAATCAGCTATTATAGGATGCTTTAAAGCCTACCTTTCACATCACTAACACTAGAGATAGCAACATGGAAGGTGCTGGCAGAGTGATGCTGGATAAGGCATTTTGGGGGGGAAGAAATAGCTAAACCTGGCTTTTACATCTTAAAAAATCAGCATGTGATTGTCATAGTGTTTTCTTGTGGTACTGCCAAAAAGAACATCTTAAATCAGGACAACTAAGGAACATTCTCTGTGCTTTTTTTTTAATATGCTGACAACTATAAACAATATTTATTTACAAAGAACAGACAAAAAATGATGAGGCGATTTCTTTTCTTTTCTTTTTTTTTTTCCCTGAGCATTAAGACTTGGGATTTTTAGACAGGTAAACAAAGAAAAGCCCAGATACAGAGTGGCATCCTTCTATGACAATGGCATATGAGCAGACACTGAAAAAAAAATATTTGTGCTTGAAGATGCTTGGATCCAAATCCCATCACATTCAATTGGACAAGGCATCCTTCAGTAAGGCTCCATGCTCATAACTGAGTGGTATAGCTACTTTCCCACAAGTAGGTGATTTGAACATATTCAGGCCAAGAAGGGCACTGGCCTTGTTGTTCCCTTTTCCAATTGAAATTCTCTAGTTATTAAGAAATTCTATGGCAAAAAGACACTCAGCATTCTCTTGAATTATAACAGAATAAGAGAGGACAGAGCAATAGTTCTGGTTCTCACTCAGGAAGCTTTCAGATTTCTATAAACTCAGCTCAGGCTGGCAGCCTCAGCAATCTTTGTGGAGAAGAGTCATCTCCAAGTTAAACTGCAAGAGCAGAAAATTCACAAAAATACAGAAAAATGCAATTAATAAAACTGGTTCAGAGCCATGTAGTCTTCTACAAAATGCAAATTGTCCACTCCTTTGGCAGCATCTAATGTAAAAGACGCTCCCTCAGTAACATCATCTTAGGTCATGCTGAGACATCAGCCCTACAACTCAGTGCAAGAAAATGGACTGTCTCCCATATATCTAACTGGTAGATCTTATTTGTTAGAGGCCACATTACAAAAGCTATCAACAACAACAACAACAGCTATGTTTGTTTTGATGAAGTCTTACAAAGCCCATTTACAGTAGGCAAGTATGTGACTATAACTCCTGGAGCCCTTTGCTCCATTAAATTTCAGGCTTCGAAGAATGGGAACACAGGCTTCTTTTCCACTCAGCAAATTTAGTGCAGCATGAAAGAGTCAAAGGGAATATTTACAACATTTAATAGTGCACTGAGCTATAGACAAAGGCTAAAGCTTTCTAGTATCTGGCTATTATGTTGCCCTGGAAGCAGCCTGAATTCAGTCTGGTGAGGCCACAGACACCATCTATTTTGCAGAAAATAAAACTTGGGACACCTCGTCTGTTATATATCATATGAATACTGCCCAGGCAGCATTAGCATGCTGGGATGGAGGAATAAGATAGCATGTAAGGATCTGGCTATCTGGCCAGGCCCAGAGAGCGGTGGTGAATGGAGTTTAATTCTGCTGGCAACTGCTCATTAATGGTATTCATCAGGGGTCGGTTCCTGTTTATTGGTGATCTGGATGAGGGGATTGAGAGCACCCTCAGTAAGTTTGCAGATGACACCAAGTTAGGAGGAGGAGTTGATCTGCCTGAGGGTAGGAAAGGCTCCACAGAGGAATCTGGATTCCTCTGAATTGATGGACTGAGGCCAGCTCTAAAAGCTCGATAAGACCATGTTCCTGCACTTTGGACACAACAACCTCATACACTACCTCATCACTACAGGCTTGGAGCAGAGTGGTTGGAAAAGCACAGAGGGAAAGGCTCTAGGGAGTATTGACAGCTGCCTACCACGAGCCAGCAGTACTCCCAAGAAGGCCAACACCATCCTGGCTTGTATCAGAAACAGTGCAGTCAGCAGACCAAGGAGACGATCATGCCCCTTGGTGCAGGTGAGGCTGCATCTCCAGCATTATATTCAGTTTTGCACCCCTCACTACAAGAAAGACACAGAGGCCCTGGAGCATTTCCAGACAAGGGCCATGAGATCTTGAGGGGGCTGGAACATGTCTTATGGGGAGCAGCTGAGGGAATTGTTCACACAGAAGAGGCTCAGGGGAGATCTTAGTGCTCTGTACAACTAGTTGAAAGGAGATTGTGGTGAGGGGAGTGCTGGCCTCTTCTCCCAAGTAACTGCAATAGGACAAGAGGTAACAGCCTTGAGTTTTGCCAGAGGAGGATCAGGTTGGATATTAAGAAAAAATTCTTCTCAGAAAGAGCGGTAATTCATAGGAACAAGCTGCCCAGGGAAGTGGTGGAGTTGCTGTCTCCAGAGGCATTCAAGAAACTAGGAAATGTGGCACTGAGGGACGTAGGGACATGGTTGAGTGGGCATGATGGGCATGGGTTAATGGCTGGATGAGATGATTCTAGAGGTATTTTCTACCCTTAGTAATTCTATGATTCACCTAGTAAATTCGCACACAAATTTATTCAGAACAGACCGTGACTGCAGTTCCCCCTTCCTATATCTGAGAATACCAATAGACTGACAAAGCAGCCCTTTCATCAAGAATGTTTGTGGTAGCACATCCAATTTGGCTGAGTAAATAGCATTTTAAAATAAAACAAATGCTCACGCACAGCTACTTCAACACAAATTTACTTTGCATTATAATTACCCATTCAACTAGCTTGTTGTGTTTCAGTTCAGCATCCAATTCGCTTCAAATATCCATCAGAACATGAGTGTAGTCAGGGGTTTTCTTTAAGCAAAACAGGATATCTGTTTTCCCAGCTATGCTCAGTGATCAAGATCTCCCCAAACTCACAAGGAAAATTCTTCCAGGAAATAGAGATGAAGCTTTAGTTTACAGAACTTTTAAAAGTTCTGTGGGTTTTTTTTATTAGTCTTTAATTCAGTTCAATACTGGCAGTAACCACAGTGATGGATAGGAGGAAGAGAACTGTGAGAGAGTGGTTCTGTCACCTGCCATCATTTTGTTTTTCTTTTAACAGTTGTTTTCTTTCCTGAAGGGAAAAGCGCTAAATCTAGCGCTGAGTTTAGGTTTTGCCAGCAGCACTTAAGTTTGCAACAACTCCCAATAATATTCTAACTGCAGTTTCCCTTTTATCTACTGATACAACATGGCAGAGTTTGACACCTTTTTAGACATGAAAAGACTTTATCTTGTCTCAAGTAGCAGCTGCCATTAGTCTCTTTCACCACATCTTCCCCGTTTTCTTTGTTATATAATAGCATACAGCCAAGCCCATGCAAATCCTCAAAATTCAGCTTAGATATCTCATTCTCAAATTAGGAAATATTTCTGTCAATTGTACATATATACATAAATTCCATTTATCAATTCTGTTGTTAAGATAAACACAATGATTATGAACAAAATTCCTGTTAGCAGCATCTGTGAACATACTCAAGTATGTCAGTAATATGCCCCAATAAAAAAAAAATAAATAAAAGCAATTGCAGCTCAAGAGTGGGCTATAGAGGAAATAAGGATTTTTTGGATCATTTTCCACTATATATTTTTTTTTCCTATGTATACATTCCCCATATCAGTACTCTATGACTTTCTGGTTGATCTCCCCATGTAACTGAAACAGAATCACATGAAGAACCGTAAACATTCCCCCCTGTTAACATATGCTGTATAAATGTTCTATGTTAAAGTAGACATACAATATTGCTTTTCAAATGGAAATAATTTATACTGCTAAGACAGAATCTAAATTTCTGCTCCATGTTACTGCAGGTATCAACTGAGCCAGAATGACACTCTCATCAGGGGTGATACACCAGTGAGCTTGAGGAGTGCTTGCTTTCATAGAAAAACTTTCAGAGCAGTATCTGAAGAATGATGCATCTTACCTGCTCCATCTTCACAGCAGATATAATTTTATTGCTTTGTATGAAACATCCTGATACAGATTGCTTTGGCAGACCAGGATGGATAAATGAAAACACATTCAGTGGTAACAGGCAGATGTACTACACTGACTTATACTTGCAACCAGTTTAGCATAATCTTTTTGGAATATTTTCTGCAGATGTTATCTGTTGCACCCATTCAATATATTTAAACATTTTCTTCACAAATGTGAGAATCTGCAAAGCAGTCAGCTTTGACATTTAGAACAGCTCCAAAGTAGAGAAATTAGCCCTAATCCTCAAATTGAGTAAATTACAGTAAGGTGAGAACTCCAAATGCATTTAAACTGTGACTCTCTGCAGAGAATCACAAATCTGATGATACCCCCCCAAGGATAAATGTTCCTATGTTGATTTGCTGCAGTGAGCAGAAACAGTGTGATGCAGTATCCTATGCGGTTATTTTCAAATCTATTGCTGCTTCTAACTTTCTTCCACTGCAGTTCTCACTAGCTTACGAACGCATCTCTTTTCTCACTTTTATAATCCATAAAATATGAATTTGTTGTTAATTATGGCACAGTATTTTTGGAAAATCCTTCAGTAAGGCAGTCTTTCCAGAAATCTGAAAAGCAACCAAAAAAAAACCAAAAAACCCTCCAAAAACAGCTTACCATCAGCTTTAAACAAAAATCTAAAGCACAGAAACCCACAAAGTATGGGTAAAAATTTATGATCCTTCCAGTAAGTACAGTGCTGATATTTTATTCCTGAAAATTCAAGCTGCTGATTACAACCTTCAGTATTCAAAAATCAGCAGCAAGAAACAAACAGAATCAAACAAATGTGTTTTTTTGCACACACACAAATTCTGTCCACAACTGACTAGAACATCTGGAATCTCTCCCTTTCTAATTTACAGATGTCTACTACTCTGATTCTCCATAGCGTTTCTATTCTTTCAGCTATATGCTCACACCATCTGGGCGATGAGCCTCCAGAAAGGGATTCCAATAGTTATATAGATGAGCAAAAATTCTGAAACTCATTTTTCATTTAGAAAATATACTACAAATCAGCTTTTGCTACCTGCCAGAAGCCAAGCTAAGAAGTTACCAATTTTACTAATTATAGATTATATTATCTATTTCTTTAAGCACAGCTAGAGTTTTGCTTCCTAACTTCTAAGGTTTCTGCCTTTGTAAGAAATAGTTGACCTTTTCATTAATGCATGAATAATATAAACCAAGTAGAATATAAACAGCGCATGTAAGATGGGTCTTCATTCTGGTCAGTACAAAGAAAAATTATGAATTAAGTAGAGGTAAGAAAGAATTTTCTAATAAGCTCGAGAAGACAATTTTTTTGTTTATGATCAGTTTGCTTGACTATTAAGAGAAAAGAAAAAACACCTTCAAAAATCCAATTGCATTTAAGTTCCCACTATAAGATCAAACATTTACAGTGCATGATATTTTCCAGAGAGCCTGCAATACTGTTATCAGATTTTGATTTTCTCTATTTAACCTTTCTCTTGGTATACGTGAACGTTAGATGAAATTGCATACCCTCTGTAAATTAAAAATGCCCTAACTTAGAAACACGTGGTTAAAACTGCTATCAAATTTTCTTTAATAGGGCAAGTGACAGCCACAAAACCAGAATATCCTTTATATGGCTTATTCCACTTGGAAGGTACAAATACTCAAAGAGGTTTATCACATGGCATAGCACATTATAAATTTAGCTATGGTCAAACATACATGTATAAAAGCAGAAGGACTAACAGCCTTAACCTGGCAGGGAAAAAAAGACTTCATAATTCAAAAGTACCAACCCTGCTCCCTTGTATACCATAGTCTGCTGTTTACACATTCAGAACATAACCAAGCCCAGAATAATTGGTATTTGCCCACAATGTCTGATTTAGTACCTTTGTCAACATTTTAGTTTCAAACCTCAGCACCAGCATGAAGTATTTCACAACACTACTTATTCATCATGAATGTTTGCACTTCAATTGACATAGCACAGTAGAAACTTTGAAAAAGAGCTCTATAAGAAGTGAAGTTTTAGAGTTAATTGTTACCATAATTATTTTATGAGCAACCTAACTGCTTTTGAGTCTTCTTTTTAGTCTTTCAGACAGGGGAAGTGGACTGTCTGCCCACAAAGAAATCAGAACATCACTGTCAACTTGTGCAGGACTGGAACCTGTGCCCTGAAACTGTTGTTCTGAACTTCGGAAACAATCAACTACAACTACAGAGGAATTTTTTGGAGATACTTCCAATGACAAATTCCCACCAACTTCCTTAAAATCTGTGGTTTTCTCCATCCCTTTAATTAGAAGTGCTGAGTCACTGCCTGTACTTTTGCTACTAGCAGTGTTATATCTTTTCTTTGTAAAAGTTTTTTTAAACTGGCCAGGGTTCAGTTGCCTTTGCTGCTGCTTACATATTGGATTTTTATTCATGTTCCCATCATCACTGTCCTCACTAGAAGAGCATTTGCTCTGGCACACACTCTTAAAAGAAGTTTTCCAAGCAGCCTGAGTACAAGTTTTTGTTACGTTATGGACAGGAGCAACATTTACTGGCAAAGAAAGAGGCAGTGGAAGCACTTCACACACAGTATGCAATGGCTCTGTTGTTTGCCCCCTGGGGGCTAGAGATGTTGAACAGCTTATAATACAGTCTTTCTGCATCATTTCATGCAGGGTGTCACTTTCTTGAGAAACAGGTGCACTGGATTCTCTTGCACAGGTTTCTGGTAGCACATTTTTAGCGTCTTGTACTAGTTTATTTAACTGACAAGAGGAAGAGAGATAATCTTTATCAAGTTTCAATGCTGCTTCTGTGTGCTTAAAATGTTTGAAAGGCTCTTGTTGCATTACATCTTCTGGCAGCACAGACTTTGATGGAACAGAAGTCTTAAGTATACGCTCACTTAAAGACAACTTTTGAAGATGTTCCACGTGACCATCTGAAAACAAATCATCTGCACTATCAGAATGATCTCGATCTGACTGTGCAGCACCAGAACATTGCAAGCTATTTTTTACTGTTTTGTGATGTAGTGGATATGAGTGCTTTATGTATGCAGACAAGTCAGGTGCTGGATCACAGGTATTATATTCAAGGGTTGGTGAAGTGCTGAAGAAGGTTCCTTTCCCATCAATACTGCTCAGTTGTAGATCAGCTGTTACAGAGGATGACACTTCTGAGTTTTTAGTAAATTGTGCTGGCACTGCAGATGAGTCAGTCAATGCACGCTGTAAGTGCAAGCCAAGTGATGCTGTCTGAGAAAGTACAACTGATTCTGACATTTGAACAGATGTTACACAAGAAGCTGCAGCTATCACTGGATCTTTTGATTCCGTGCTTCTCTGGCATATCTGATACTCAGGTGGAGTTTTTCCATCAGACGTGTGGTCTGGCACAGGAATAATTTCATGTGCAGACTTTAAATTCATTTGAGACAGAAAATTGGTAACTTCACCATAAGCATCCAATAACTCCTTTTCTTTTGGTCTGTTTTTCTTGTCTGGAAAAAAAAAAAAAAGGCACACAAACATTGTCCTTCTCCCACTGTTGAGCAATATTTACTTTTGTTTCTTGTATTCTGGCAAGGCCCATAAGATAAAAATTTTTGTACTTACTTTTCTGTTTCTTTGCCAGAGCTTCTGACTTTTCCATTTGGTAAAGAGCAACAACATCTGGATAAGCAGCCTGAAACAAAGGCTGTTCTTCTATTGTAACTACATACAACTCCACAGGCTCATCTTCTGCATCAACATAGTGTTCTATCAAAATTAATGAATTTATATTAGAAATATATATACAAATATTTCAGAGGATGGAATGAGAAAAAAGTATTTGACTGTAAGGAAGATATTTAAAGAGACAAATAGCACAAGGTTTGAGGCCGAGCTATGGCTCTCTGACAAATTCCTACATCATACAGACACACTGAGGACTGAAGTCTGTCATCATGAAACAATACATAACATGACACAAAAAAGAGTTCAGATCTTATTAACCACAAAAAATAATTGGAAACCAAGCCCCTTGCTTTCTGGGTAAGTGGTTAAAATGGGCATTTTTTTTGTTTGTTTGTTTGGGGGGAGGGCGTTATTTGTGTTTGGTTTTATCTTGTTTTACTTTGATTTTTAGCATCGTTCTTGGTTTCAGGGTACTTGAAATGTGACATTTTCTTTCACAGTACTGTTTTCCCAATCTTATTCACACATCTTTTACTCATAATGCTATTAAACTACTCTTTAAAGAATGCTTTTGTCTTTTTCTATGAATTAGACTGTTCAATAATAAGCCTAGAAACCAATCCAACCTGGTTTTTGCCACTCAATTTCATAACAAGGAACTCCATTTTTAACACGTGTCTTGACTATTCTGTAAGAAAAGAAAGCAACACATTAGATGATTTTGTCTGAACAAGAAATGAAGAATCTAAGGAAGAATCTAAGATACTTAAAAGTATTTCACTATTTTAATTCATAATGATTCAGAGCAGAAGAAAATAATCTCTGTAACAGTGAACTCCGCATAGCATTTTAAAAATATGCTTTTTTTTTCGTTTAAATGCACAAGTTGTATACTACAATTTTGGCTCTAGATGTTGAATACTCATTATTCATTTAGGAGAAAGGATACTGCTCCAAGTAGCATAACCAGAAATCAGAAAGCTGTTCTGAACATATAACCCTAATGCAAACTTCCACAAACATCAGTTTGGCATCTTCAACTATGCCATGGAGAAGACTGTTGCCATAGACAGTAATTTTCTGAATGAACAGACATTATCGTTCATGTCTTTTGCATAAGAACATGAAGAAAGATAGCAAACAGGGCTGTCACTAAGACAGAATGTGAACTGAACAGGAACAGTCAAAGTTCCTACATGTAAAGAGGTTGGTGCTGTCTCATTACTATGTTTCAAAAGACTGTGAAAAGAAAATGAGACCAAGATCTGTTTTTTAAACTCTTGAAACACTAGACAGAAACATAAACATCAATTCTTTCATCTGAAGTAAAATATCAGTAACTTGTCTAATCAACTTATTAAAAAGCAACCTCCAAACAACACACTCAATCCAACTCAATCCAGTAGCTCTTCTGTAAGATAATGCTAAACAAAACAGCTTCTCTATGAGGAACAGTTTAACAGACTATCAACCCATCAATCCAAAAGAGATGATGCCATACTGACATTGGACTGCTTTTTGTTCCCTAAAATTAAAGTCTATAAGAAAACTGAACAGCATGAAGAAATGGAATGACAAGTAAACCTTACACTAGAAGAAAGTGGATCCCATCAAAACCACCTCTCAGGAAGTTAAATAATTTCTTCCATACTATGAAGTTAAGCTTAGCTATCTTTTGCCAGACACTGTAGATTCTTGAAGTTTACATAGGCTTAACAAAATATTAGATCATTTAAAAGATCCACTGAGGACTGACAGATCAAAATGATACTAACTCTGGCCCAGAGAATTCCTGAGTAACAGAAACTGGATGCCAGGAAAATACTGAGATGGAAATAGTTATTTGCATCTTGCTGTTTTTCCTGCATATCCATTTTAAGTACCCAGGATCCATGGCCATGTCAGTAACAACAAAGGACTGAATTTTTTTGAGCAGGAAGGGATAGCAGAAACAAAATGGAAAGCAATAATTTCACTAGACACAACTGAGTGCAGATGTTTATTTATAAGTCCATGCTCATAACTTTTAATCACTGAAGTCAATCAAAATTGACTAAGTACCTGAGAAGAGAAGTAATCCCTTAAAAGGTAAACCTCATGTGCACAGACCCAAGGAAAGAGAATGGAATAGTAAGCAGGGAAAAAGCAGGCTCTGTTGGAACATAAGAAAACTGTTTTATGTATAACTTTGTGCAGCAGCAACATATATATTAATATGTTCACCTAAATTTTTAACTCTATTCAAGATGAGCACATAGCTTGAATCAGAGAGGAAAGAAAATAATTACATTTTTGTAAATACACATATACATACACACACATACACATTAAAAAATTCCTCCAGCAGCAAAAGTAAAATATTAGGTTGAAGATTTCCTGTTACATTACCGTATTGCCTGCAGTTGCTTTGAATCAGTGTATCCAGATTTTCTCTGGATCATATCATAATGTGTAAGCAATGCTAACAGCTTCTTACAAGCATAATGCTTTTCCCATTCCATCTTCTCAGAAGCAAATATCTGTTAGTGTAAAGCAAACAAAAAAACCCATGCTTTAAAACTTGCCTACTCTGTTAGGTATCAAACTTCAACAGCTGTATAGTAGAAACACAGAACTAGATGCTTTAAATATTCTGTAAGTTAGAGAAATGCCAAACAACATCTCACTACCAAATGGAGGAACAGTTATCTCTGTAAATGAGCAGATCCACCTGCTGCCAATACCAAGTCAAAGGAACAGTGATGTAGAAACAGTGAAAGAAAAGTCATGTACCAGATGGCCATGCAGAGCTATCACAGTGTGTGACAAGCTATGCTACAAGTCAAGAGTCAAAATGGCAGTCTATGGGGTGGTGACATGTGAATTCCCCACTGAAGAAAAAGTTCAGGATGGAGCCCTCAGTGGGTGAACTGATGTGATCTTTTGGGATAGGAAAGTGATGACACTTCTAGATTTCCTGCAACCCAGACAAAGCATCAACTCTGACTGCTATATCATGATGTTGACTAAGTGGAAGGCTCCAACTTCCAGAGCCAGGCCAGAGAAGACAACACTATAAAGCCAGGTCCATACCAGTTTAAAGACCATGGAGCTCTTTGCCAGTCTTGGCTGGACTGTCCATCTCTTTAGGCCAATCAAAGACAGACTGCATGGGTGAAGTTTTCCTAGCAATTATGCTGCCATAGCAGCTGTGAAACAGTGGGCCACCTCTGCTGGTGCAGATTTTCACAAATGCAGCATGCAGGCTCTTGCTAATTGGTGGTGAAAATAAATAGCTAATAATGGTGATTATGTTGAAAAACAAAAAAGTGCTTTGTAGCAAAAAAATTTGCTCTATCAAACCATGGTATTGTGCTCTTTGTAGCTGTTGCAGTTCGCATGGAAGCAAGCAGTAGGCATTACTTTTGGAGCAAACTCTGTATGTCACTTTTGAGCTTTGAACGCTTGGAATTAAAAGAGCCTCTGTACCTGGAAGGTGATAGGATTGCACTAAATACAGGCCTGCCATCTTTTTTGAATATGCACAATTCAGAATAAGTGTCTGCTTGTTATGTACAGAAGCTGGCTGTCTCAGTGACACCAAGAAATCATTATAAACAAAAAAGAAACAACCAAAAACCTCAAAGACTGCAAATGTAACTTGAGTTACCATATACATATGTTTGTAAGAGGACAAGGCAAACGTGAGTAAAAACCAAGAGCCACACCTGTTAAAACCTTTACGAAAGATGGGAGAAAGATAACATTCCTGAAGCATTATGCCTCATCAACACACCATATTTTATACACTAGAGATGATCCAATGCTCAGCAATCCACTCTAGTAATGCTAGACAATGAAAAATGGAACAATGGCAAGTGACTTTTTTTCCAGGTTACTATACTTGAGCTTTTCTAAATGCCTATTTACATCAACTAATTCTTCAGAGTTGCCTATTTTTGACTTTCAGAAAGAATGAGGTGAATTAAAAAGCTGTAGCAAGGTACTTTAATTATATTTACTGTAGAATTACCAATGAAAAAAAAAAATCAATATCACAGATGACTTCCTTAAGGCAAAAAACAAGAAAATCCACAGAGCTGAATATTCAGTATTTTCACATATACCTGAAATGACAATAAATTTGGCCTCTTGCATTCCATTATCTTGTTCAGTTTATTCTTGTTTACAAGAAATTCTTGGATAACCTTGAGATAAAACAGAAAAGAGGCAGTTGAAGAAAGGGCAAAAAACCTGAACTTTCAATTAATTGATTTGGAAAATTAATCTTTAACTAGGCTTCTTACCTCAGAGAATGGAAAGCCTTCACAACTGTTAGCTTTTCTGCAGGTAAAACAAATGTGTTAGGAACTGAATAACAAATAGGAAAAATACGCATTTTAAATGCTCACTCCGCACGTGAAAGGAAAAGCAGTTTCTTTTCAAACCATTCCTACTTTCTGATATTGTCCTCCACTGCACTTGCTTGTTTCACTTGCTCTAACTGATGCCATTCACAAGGGCAGCAGTATTTGGAGTCACTGGGTTTGCAGTATCTAGTGCTTTCACAGAATTTACATCCACTGCGCTCATGTTCCTTGTACGATCCTACAGAAGATGCACAAATCACGATGAGAAAGGAGGTTTTAGAAACCTCCAAAAACATTACCAATAAAAATATAAAGGTCAGAACATACATGAATAACAGCCATAAGCAGATCTGAGTATATTAGCTATATAACTACCATAAAAACAAGAATGTATTATTTTTTTAAATTATTTTCTTAAGACTATCCCTAACTGTTTCAGACCTTGTGATGAGGAATTTACCTTAAATGAATGCTGCAGAAGTAGCATGGCAAAATAATAAGTAAAGGGTATATAAAACAAGCTTTTTTCCCCTTCTCATTATCATCCAGAGCAATAGCTTTAAATGAGTTCACTGAGGACATTACAAAAATGAGGTTAGGACTAATTTATTTTCAAGAAAAAGCTACAGCAAAATCCAGCAATGCCAATGGTTTCAGTCCTCACGCAGGACCAGTTTAGGGAGAAGAAAAAGTTGCTTGCTATTACAGTGTGCTGTCTTTAGTGACACTGTTAAAAAGTTAAATATCTGGGATCACACAGCGCATTGTATTAACATTCTGCTATCAACTGGTTTCACATTTGAGAAACGTCACTTGCACCCTCAAAAAGCCTTCATATAGATACACAGTGCAGAAAATGTGAAGTCAGAAGATGAATGACAATAAAGCAGTTTGTAATGCTAGTCACAAAAATTCAACCAGCCAATGACCCCAACATCCAGAATCAAGAGCAAACAAATGATTAAGCTAAAAATAAAATGCTACGCTTTCAACACTGACCTGGATGATGGCAGTCAGAACAGTGCACTACTCTTTTAACAACCAAAGGTGGATTATAATCATGCTCAGATTGTTCTTTCCATTGCTCAAACCTATAGGGGTGATATTTAAAGGATTAAGAAATACTTTATACTTTCATACTTAAAATAAAACACCCAAGTAGTCCCTTCGTACTTATCAAGCATTTGCTCAAGAAGTATTTCCTAAGTTAAGAAACTGATTATTTGTTTTGCAAGTATATCCTTGTTGCATTATGAATATTTACATGCACATTAAGATAACAAACACAGAAAGCATTTAGTACCTCATGTTCTAATCCAACCAGTTAAAAAAATAAAAATAAAAAATAAAAATTATCAGTACTTGTGACTTGTATTCTAATGCAACAACATTCTCTAAAGCTAGGTGTCAGCTAATATTTAAAACAGTTCACAAGTTCATATAGCACATCATGTAATTCATTTAGGCAAACAACAATGCAGCCACTTGACTCTCAAAAAATTTTTTAAAAAATATTATTAGCATTGTCTTGGAGCTGAAGCCCATACCAGAAAGTATGTAAAGTAAAATCAAAGAACTTGAGCATGCAGGGTAAATTTTCACTTTACCTTTGCAGTAAATTTTGACCTCCCAAAGTCTCAATTAATTTTAAAGCTTGCTCTTTTCCAACTCCTGGAACACCCTATAGAGACAGAAATATGAAACATTAAGAAGTGACACATGCAGTACACACATCTTTACTGCCTTTCTAACATTATGGACAGAAATAACAAAAGACAATCCCAAGGAACTGAGCTAAACTGAGATTTTTATTTATTTTTTATTTTTTTTTTACAAAATTATGAAGGTAGAAATGGCAAAAGATTGGAGATACACAATCAGTGTGACACACAAGATGCATAAAATGGCCTTACCCTCAAAAGCAGCTCAGATAAAGCCATGTGTTTTCCTGTTTCCTACTGTCTTTTTACTGTATTTTCTACCCTTATTCTTATTCCTTTTATCTCCTACCTGAAACTGGACTCTATATTCTTGCCAGCTATATGCCAGGCAGCCAGCTGAAACTCTTCATAATAGTTTTGGAAAGACAAAGACTCTTTATCTGAAGTCAACATGCAAAATGTTAGAAACTCAAGAAGATGGGGGGGGGGAAGGGGGGAAAAACACACCCACAAAAAGCTTTCAGTCACAGGAGAAAAAGCAACTACATGGCAAGGAAACTTCTAATACTTGATGATTTCAAGCTAAGAGGTGAATAGTGAATAGCGTAAAAGCATTTTATGAAAGTTAATTAAAAAAAAAAAATCAAGCCTCAAATAAGTTCTCTTCCCTTGTTTGATTTTAATATTTACTACCTTATTACATCTGCAGTACACATGCTCTGTATGGGAAAATAGACTACCACTGTGGTAATGGATGGAAACAGCAAATGTTTTTCAGGAGCTGTTCAAGGACAGAAATCCAGGACTTCACTGCAACTCTTAAATTCACTGAAGTACGTGTTGCTTTTTAGTTTCTCGTTCAATTCTTATGCCCATCACATTACCAAGAATCAGTGCAGTTGGATATTTACACCATATTGAGTGTCCTTCTGACAGCACTGCTACAAGTTTCATTCAGCCATAATGACTGAATAGAATATATGCAACTGCATGAAATAAATCTATTTTCAAAACCAATTAGAAGTTGTAGTTAGTCTGCTCAAGTGCCTGACAGTAGTCCATCAGGTATTAAGCTTCTGCAAGGAAAGCAGCATTTTTGTATGTAATGAACAAAGGAAGTGCAGTTATAGAATGGTATTCTCACTTATCTGAGATGCCAATCCCCACACCTGATGCACTCCTGTAGTTCAGCCTTCCTTAGAAGTTTGTATATTATTTGCTTTGCTGAGTTGCAGCAAATCAAGACTGGCCTAGTGCTACGTAATTGTGCCTTTTAGGACTACGCAGTAACTCAGCATACCAGAAGCTGCTAGGGGCATTACAGAAACTACTGATAAGCCACTATTTTCTACCTCTCCCCTCCTCACTAGTGTTTCTTTTGTGATAATGAAGTGTTTACAAATTAAATGAGAGACTTGCTTCTATTACAGTAAAGAAAAAAGAGGAAAGAATTATAGTGATGCACTCTGCCTGCTGCTTAAAAGGACAGATTTATTAAATTGAAACACCATGATTTAATAGTTAACTTAGACAACCAGAATGGGACCAATTATTGCCTGTGGTCATAGTATGATGGACTGTACAGAAATAAAGTTTCATCCCATTTCCTTTCGATTCCAAAACTGTTCAAAGCCTCAACAATAACAACAACCCAAGAGCTTTCAAGGAGAAAAAAGAAAAAAGTGCCCACTGAGAACTTACTTCATTCATTACTGAATAAAAGTCTCTAAGTTCCATCCAGAACAAGCGTTACTACTAACTGCAGTTCAAAACCATCACTACTAGCTATCCCAAAGGACACAGTGTTTTTTCTCATTTTTCTCACCTACTATGCCAGGGATATACTGTACGTGCTAACGGGCAGTTCTCATGTTCGCACAGTATCATTAAACTGCAACTTTCACACAATGGAGATGAAGACTGAAGTCGAGACTAACACCTCAGATTTAGAAAGATTAATGCTCCATTCTGATCATCTTCCAACTATCACAAAAAGTTATGACTTACTAAACATCCCTAGATCTCAGCAATCATGTATTGTATGCAGTTCTGTCAGCATGTGCAAGTCTTCCTTGATATGCTCTAAGTAATTGCTTACCTTTGGAAGATAATCACAACCCAGAAGAACAGCTAGTCCAATCAAAGTCTCTCTGTCACAACCAAGCTTCTCCTTAATAGAGGACATTGTGTAGCAGTCAAGATGTGGCTCCTGAAAAAGAAATTTATCATTTATTTCATTTCTGTGACACCAGGGAAGGAACTGCCATGTCTGCAGTTCTACCCTACAATGGGCCTTCCCTATAAGATACAGAAGGGTCTGATGGAAAAATGCTATAAAGCAGCAATTAAAATTTATAATGTAGCGCATGGACACCATGAGAATAACAGCAGTTCTAGGATTTCAAGCTGTAAGCATAGATACCAACTACTTAAAAACTACCTTTTAGATAAAGATAAGAAATACCAACCCGATCTCGTTTTTCCTCCACTTTCTTCAGAGGTTTAACAGGTAAAACACATGAAATCTTTTCTCTGATTTATAGAGAAAGTGTCAACTAAGAAAATCTGGATTTTCCAGTTTTAGAAAAAATGCATCCTTAATAAACATTTTCAGCTCAAGGTCATAAATTGTTTTTTACTGAATGGTCACAACAACCTATTAGTTACAATACAGACACAATCTCTCTCCTATTCATCATTTAAGACTAAGAGTATTAATTGTAAATATATTTGTAATGAATAAACCAAACATGTAAGATGCACACACACAAACCAGCCAGGAAGCTGACCACTCCTACATGCTCCAAATGGGAATTTATAGGAAGCAATGATTTCACTAAAATTCTCCACTATAGAAGAAAAAAAAAAATCACTTAGCTTTATTACACACCACGGAACACACACAAACACATATGATAGTACTATAAGTGATCTTCAGTTGTTTTGCTCTTAAACCCACTACATGGACAAAATGTTCCTATCTTAAAGGATAGTTATAATCAACACAAATCAGTAGATAAGCATGATATCCACACAAATGTTAAAAGGGCCTCCTTTTAATTTCTATTTGCATTTTTGGGATGACTCTAAAGAGCCAGTAAGATCCCCTTCTGATTCTACTGATGTACATTACCTTAGAATTCATGGCAAAGTTCCTATAAACTGTTTGAGCTCCATATAGGAAAACATCTCCATCATTGGTAATGCACCCATCAACATGGCCTTTTGCACTCAGGTAAGCACACATTGCTTCTGCTTCCCCAGCTGCTTGAACCCATGGGACACCTAAACAGTCCAGCAGCTGGAGGCACTAAATAAAAGAACCCAAAATGAAATATAATTTAACAGTCAATGTATATCTAGTTATTAGCATGTATTTTCTCAGATTATATGCCCACTCTAAAGGAGTATATATAAAACATTATATCAATAAAACATTTTGCTCTACAAAAGTATCTTACTGTAATAGTCAAAAGAAATATTCAACTAAGACCATTTATTAGAGATTAATACATTACATATTAATTACACAACATGATTAACAGTTACTCCTTCACAAAATCTGACTACTCAGCAGTCTCTGCTAGTTCTAGCTAAGTGTCTTTCAACGAACTGTCAGACTGCTCCAAAACATCAAGTACAAAAATACAATACTATTGGCCTAACTAATACTGGACCATAATTAAAATGAGCATACTGAGATATATACAAACACATACTTTCTACAAGTTTGAGAACAGAACGTGAATACTTTCATGGTTTCAATTGCATAGCTGAATGTCTACATATTTTATTTCACAAAACTCTGATTACACAAGAATGGCAAAATACCTGCGATAATGAATTAAAATGAAAACTACTGAACAGAAGTTCTTTGCAGCCAAAGCTTCTCAACTAATGCAGCAGATTTCCAACAATACACCAAATAACAAAGAAGCTGCATTTCTGTAATAAGTACTCGTTATATGTGTGGCTCACTACAGCATAAAACACAGAGAATGCATCAAACAAGAAAACTGTGTTCTGATATTGCCACCCTACTGCAACAATCAACTGATGTTGGAAAGCACAATTGCAAGAGGTGTGTTCGCTCTAATTCCAAATATTGTTGAAATTTGTTCTGCAGAAAACTACTAATTCTTTTGAGTTCTTCTCTTCAAACTGTTAAAGGTTTCTATCACGTTAAAAAAAAAGTATTGAGACACACACCCCAGTTACTCACCTCTTTCAAAATAGATTTAAAAAGAGATCTCCCTGTTCTTGCAGCCCCATGTTTGTTGGAAGCTCCATATCGCATCTCATTTCTCTTACTCATAGTGTCTGCCTTCAGCTTGGGGGCCTCACCTTCCATGACAAACACCAATTTAATCCCCATTGATGTGAAAAAAGAATACCGAAAAAACAGGTTTCTGCAATAAAGTAAGGTGTTCCAGAATTAAGGAAAACATCAAAAGAAATCAGGTTTCCTTACATCCCTCAGCCTACTTCAGGAACAGTCACAGAATGATACAACAGCCTAGGTTAGAAGGGATCTTAAAGATCATCTAGTTCTAACCCCTTGCTGTGGGCAGGATTTCCAACCTCTAGGATCAGGCTGCCCAGGATCTCAACCAACCAATGCCTTCAGAGATGAAGCATCCAGAACATCTCTAGGCAACCTATTCCAGCACCTCGCTACCTTCTGAGTAAAAAATTTCTTCCTAACATCCAATCTAAATCTCCCTTCTTTTAGTTCAAAAAGCCTTTTCCTCTTATCCTATCACTATCAGACCATGTAAAAAGTCAGTTCCCTACATGCATGTAAACTCCCTTTGAGTATTGGAAGGCCACAATGAAATCTTCCCAGAGCCTTCTCTTCTCCAAGCTGAACAAGCCCAGTTCCCTCAATCTTTTCTCATACGAGAGGGGCTCCAGCCTTTTGATCATCTTCATGGCCCTCCTCTAGACCCTCTCCAATAGCTCCATATCCTTTTTGTACTGGGGGCCCCAGGCCTGGATGCAATATTCCAGATGGGACCTCACGAGGGCAGAGTAGAGGGAGACAATTACCTCCCTCTCTCTGCTGGCCACCCCTGTTAATGGAATACTGTTGGTCTTCTGTGCTACACAAACAGACAGCTGGCTCACATTCAGCTTTTTGTCCATCACAACCTCCAACTCCTTCTCTGCAGGGCTGCTCTCAATGAGTTCTATTCAGTCTCTACACTTATCTGGGACTGCCTCGATCCAAATGCAACACCTTGCACTTGGCCTTGTTACGCCTCATTAGATTCTTGTGTCTGACAATGTAGCTCAATCTTAGCTTGTTCTTCATCCCCTATGATTTCCTTATCCCCAGGCTAAAAAGCTGTTATTTTCTTGTCTTTACTTGAAGTTGTTTCACTACCAACTTGTAACAGCATTACAAGATTTCCAAGCAAATGCTCCTAAAAATACTCTTTGTCTTTATGTTTTAAGAACATAAGAAAATGTAAAAGGCCACATAAAATGCACTATTCAGAGTCTGCTTCCAAATACATCTGCAGTGATTGTTTTGTACCATTAAGAACAAGTCTATCAATGCTGGTGTATTTGATGTAAATGAATACTGTTGTTACACAGATTCATAGATACCATTATTACACAAATTTATTTCATATGGAAATACAAAATTCTTCCCACTATTGATTGACATTGATCCCCACCATTGCAAGACAGCAATAATTACCTGGTCTACAATACTATGTGGTTACAGTATTGCTATATGTCTTTCCCTATAATTCCTGGATTAATCTTTCAAAAAAGAGCACGCAAACATTTATAACTCTTCAATTGACATGGAAAGACCATTACTCTAGATTTAACACTGTATATTTGTTACTGATAAAAGAGGATAAGTTCATCTCTTGAGGCAAGTTCTATTTTTATAACATATATATACACACATAAATCCAATTAAATAGATAATATTCTCCAGAATACTTAGCAAAATAAATTAATCTCCATCTACCTGAAATATCATTTTTTTTTTTTTTGTAGAAATCCATCCATCCCTTCATCTCTCTTTTGAAAGGCTGTGCAAGGCATCTGGGCTGATGTTTCCATTCCACTGCATGTAAGACTTTATATCATAGAGAAGTGAAGAATTCGTGTTAAGCTTCATTCTCTAGTTAATTATCCAGTCTTAGTAAGCAGTCTTAGTAATAAAATGTTATGAAGTGATTCTAAGAAGATGCTAATTTTTCATATCAAATAAACTCAACAGATGCCACAGAAATATCTAACAGCAGCTATTAAGTCAATATTCTTGTGCTAACCAGTAGCTGCTCATTTTTTAAAGTATGTAGTTTCACAATACCTACTGTCAGCATCATTCGCAGAAAACAGCGCTCTCAGGTTATGGTTGCTTATACTTGCTCATTTAAATTGAAGAAATACTTCAATGTTGCTTTTAAGCCTGAAGAATGACTTAAACACATTTACTTCAATGTGGGATCTAACTAGAATTCTAATTCATAAGCAAAATCAGGCTGAAGTATGCCTGTAAACAGCAGTCATAAACAGCTTAAATTTCCCTACCAACTTCCAATACAGCCTCAGGAATACATGGCAGTGAGTATGCTGACTTTTGTTCTTGCAGCTTGATAATTTGTACATCATGCAGCATAGTATCACAGTAAGACTAGTATGGCTTTGCTTGCACACCTCTCACCCATTGATGAAGCCTCAATAATGGCACACCTGGTTCAACCATTTCTCCTGTTTGCAGCCAAGCATTAAGCTGAATTTAACCAGTACGACTGTGCCTTCATTTCAAACCCTTTATGTACACAGCACAGGTTATAATAACATAATCAAAGCAACACAGTAATTTGAACACTGGAGCAAAGGAGTCCTACTAAATCCTAAATTCCAGAACATTTTGTTACAGTTATCTATATGGATACCATACCTCAGATGTGGCTTGGTAACTACTCCGATCATCTTTTTAACGGTCTGTGCTTCACAAACCCACAGACTTAAATCAACAGCAAGTGTCTTTCCTTTGAGACTACTCAAGCTTACAGGCTGCCTCACAGGCTCCAGGATTTGCCACAGATTAGTCACTCCCATTGTTCTATCTTCTTCGTTGTCAGCAGGAAGGTTTTAGCTGTAAAGACTAAGGAAAATAAAATATTTTCATAAAATGAAACATGACATACCATGAATGTTAAGATCAGAAAACAAATACCCAGACATTATCAGTTTTGCTTTTAGGAGCAAACAACACACAAGAGTTCTAAGACTCTACAGATGGTTTATTACTTGGTACCTTCTTTGCATTACATATTTTCATTTCTAACAGTCTGAATGTAAAAACACATAATACAATATAACACAATATAAATTCAACTGAAACAAACCAACCAAGCCATAAATTTCTTCTAAAGTATCCCTTACATAACTGAATTCCTAGTCTTATTTAAAAACAAAGTAAACAATCTCCACACTTTCTGAGGAAATTACTTCCTGATGTGAAGCCGTAGGATCCACCTAGGAGGAGGCAAGGAGTCAACACAGACAGCCTCAAGAAGTTCCTTCGAAAAACTATTTCTGAAGTTATAACAGCATAACTCCAAGAACATGTTAACACCTCTCTTCTTACTACTTTTGATTTTGTATTGTATGACTGGCACTAATACTTCTAAGGAACACCAGCTGATAACATACACCCACTAGGCAGTATTTTTCTTTGTCTCTTATTTACGCAGCTATCATCCATACTATCACAGAATGGCCAGGGTTGGAAGGGACCTCAAGGATCACAAATCTCCAACCCCCCTACCACAGGCAGGGCCACCAACCCCCCCATTTCATACTAGACCAGGCTGCCCAGGGCCCCATCCAATCTGGCCTTGAACACCTCCAGGGGCAGGGCATCCACAACCTCTCTGGGCAGCCTGTTCCAGTATCTCATCACTCTCTCTGTAAAGAATTTCCCCCGACATCCAACCTAGATCTCCCCTGCTTTAACTTAAAACCATTTCCCCTTGTCCTGCAAGGGAAATTTCTACACCATGACTGGGTTTCCTTTTCTTCACTTTCCTTGTATAGTTCTGGTTTTCATGTCTTGCTGCTTCTATATGAAGCCTCTGACTTGTAAAAGGGAGGGAAAACCCTCATAGTACCTATTGATTCCTGCATTGCCTTATCACACTAAGTTTGCCTCATGCTTATTTAAGTTTCTCTCAATTCCCTCAATATCAGAAGACAGAAATAAGATCTCAAATATATTTTTTCTCTCTTCTATCCTGAACTTGAAACTGTACACACACAAAGAATACATTTCTCTCTTTTGAAACTGACTTGACGAACTCTGACCTACTTAAGACACATGAGGATATTCCACCTTGTTGCCTCTTGTGAGCAGGGCCACATCAAACTCAAGAAGCTTCCTCATCCAACACTTGGCACAACAAGTCTCTCTTTGCAAGCTGTCTTCTGTTTTAAAGCAAGGCAGCCATTCAGGAATGTATCGCTTCTACCACTGCAGGCATTCTATATTTTTTTTTTTATCATATCCTCAAAGAAAGCTTTACTATCAACACAAATCATGTTTCTGAAATCCTCTTCTTCAGGCACAAAACCCAGTTTTAGTCTTATGCACCCAAGGCATAACACAGTAAATGTAGGCGTTGCTGCTGTTATGCCTCAAGAATATAAAATGACTTAAAATTAGGAATAAAGCATACAAACACACGGCGTTACATCTCGAAGCACAAAGCGACCCGTTTCTTGGACACGCGAGGGGAAACCAAGAGAGGCACACAAACCTTCTCTAAAGACACTCAGGGATTCAGTGGAACGACAAAAAGCGGCATCCTTCAGTCTCACAGAGATGGAGGCTCCCAAGGACGGAGGCTGAGCCTGGTTTTCTTTCTACATACGGACGAATCACCGGCGATAAGCACAGTATCATAAGATCGGTGGCAGGAAACATAAACTAAAACACAAACAAAACACTCACACACAAAAAAACCTTTTCAATGGAACACAGCCGAGGCATCCAGCAGTCCGTGCTCCCGCCCTACAGTTGTGCCCGCGCAGCCCTCTCTCCAATTTAAACACTTGAAACTCCCGCCATTTAAACACTTGAAACTCCCGCCTCGATCCGACCGCAGCCACACAGAGACGCAGAAGCCGCCTCCCACATCCCGCCGAGCCCTGGAACTCCCCTATCCGAGGACACCCACCATCCACACAGCGCAGGTGCCCACACAGCGCTTCCCCGCTCCGCCCTCCCGCAAATGGCGGCGCACGGAAACGGCACCTCGGCGGGCGGCGGGCAGCGCGCATGCGCCGCGCTCTTGGCGGCTCTTCCGTTACGCGCTCCTATCCGCGCCGCTCCCTGAGGAAGCGGTGTTTTGGCCGCGTTCAACTTTCTGCCCGTTGCAGCGGTCCTGCTGGCGGTGAGGACAGGTAGGGCGGGGAGCGACTGACCCCGTGGGGCTGCAGTGGTTGGGGGCGGCCGCGGTGGAGCGAAGGTTGCGATCCTTTCCATGGTGAGGCCGCTCCTGTTGTGCGTGCTGTCTGTGGCGAATGCATCTTGTCTTCCTGTACTGTGGCGTTAGTGGTGTAAATACTTTTCTGCTGTCAAGTGTAAGAGCGCTTATCCTGTATTAAGTGACACTGTGTTTTCCTTTTATGCTCTTGTTAGGTGCGTGACAGTTGCTTGTAATAATTCGTATTCATTGGTGGTGTTTTTATAACTTGATTTGTTTTGCCCTTATTTCTTCATGGTTATCGCTGTGGGTTTTGTTTGTAACTGTGCTTGTACGTTCCATGCTAGTGAAATTCATGCTCTTTACTGAATTCATGCTTTTGTATTGTCTTTTGGAATGACAGTCTGATTATCACTTATATTACTGATGTTCCTGACCTTGTCATCACAAATTTCCATTCACACTCTCATATATGGCAATATAGCCATAAATTTAGGCTTCGGATTTAAAAAATGATGTATGTTGTGTCTAGTCCTTATAGCAAACTTCTGCTAACATTTGTCAGTATCATTCGTTGTTGACTTCCCATTAATCTAATTTATGTCTTAAAATGTACTAATGTTTATTTTTGCCAGTTGAAAATGGAGTTCATACCACTGATGTTTAATATTAATTCCAGCATTTAAGACGTGTATGTTTTTTTCTTCTTTGTAGAGTGGGATTTCAATGGAACAACAGAGTGAACAAAGATCTGTCTTCATGTTAGAGTAATGGATAAATTCCAAGAATTTACAAGTAACCCTTTGCTGAGTAATAAAGAGATGGTTCTATAAGAGACTGAAAGTAACACAGTAAAAGGTATGTAACTGTATGATGTAATGTATTTGCTGCTTGCTTTATAAGTATGGTATTAGACTGTGTAACATAAAGAACATCAGCTGGGAAGTTTACTATGCTTCTATCTGTTATTTTGAAATTTCTCCATTAGACTTAATAGGAAGAATTGTATACTGATTTTTATCAACTGTGTGCACTAAGACAACAAGGAAATTATTAAGCATTGTTTATAAAAGTCAAGGAATACTCACAGAAGAAATTCAGTAGTCTTTGTAATGGTGTCACAAATTTTAATGTCTGTGGTGTTTGATGTAATAAATGCTATTGCCTGTGGTGCTTGTCAGTATGAGCCTTTTGTCTGTTGAAATCAGACTATGTTCTACCAGAACACTAAGCTGGCTCAGGTAGAAGAACAACAAAATTCTAGGGTTTGGAGGGGACCTTTAGAAATCATCAAGACCAGCCCCCTGGCTAAAGCAGATTCCCTGCAGTAGGTCACACAGGAAAATGTGCAGATGGGTCTGTCCTGAGCAGGAAAACATTCCAAAATGTTTCCAGTTATCCCACATATTTTGGTTATATGTGACTTGAGTAGACCTTGTTACTTTTGCAAGATTCATTTAGTAGCCACATTAGTACAATGGCTTATTTCTCCATTTGTAAAGGAAGTATTTATATATTCATACATGTGTAGGTATGTTCTCAGAGAACTGTAATCCTTCATTAGTAAAATAACAGCATTTTACTTTCCGTGATCATGGCCTTACAAAGACAGGTATGCTTTCTGCAGAAACTGCAAGGGAGCAGCACCATAAATTTAAATTATCCTCTTTTTGGTATCTCAGATATTCACTTCCAAGGCATTTCTTGAATGCATATAATAAACATGTTATACTTTTCACTGCACACATCACTTTATTCAGACCTCCATTGATCATCTTATGATAGTGGTGTACATCTAAAACTTGAACTCTATTACTAATCAAAAGCAATTATTGTAGATATTCCAAAGTGTAAGGTACCAAAGAAAATAGAATCCTCTGACCTCTGTTGGTAATCCAGAAACTCGACTTGATTAGAATAATGAAGTTGTTTTTCTTCTTATTATAAAGCCTTTGCAAAGTAATTCACTGAGATTTCAGTTCTGAGAATTCACTGAGATTTTAGTTTAATGCAACACTTGCTGAGATCTTTGTATTTCTTGTGTCAATTTAAATAAATAACAGTCTGTGTTATTATCTGTTGATGTGTTCTCATTTAACAGATCATAAGTTTCAATCTTCTGTTACTTTCCTGTTTTCTCAGCACTCATGGCTAAGAGAAAGGAAGAAAGTGTTTCAAAGCCTCCATCCCACAAAAGGCAGAGACAAGAGCACACAAATGAACATAGTGATGAGTCCAGTAATGAAGAAGAATCACTGTTTTCAGCTGATAATAGTTTCTCTTTAACATCGGTAAGTTTTTCTAAAAAATCCCCCCCAGAAATTGATATTTTAAAAAAAGTAAACCTGTGGCTTTGGTTGATTTCTGAAGCGAGTCTTAAATATAGGATTCAATGGAACCAATACAAAAAGATGAAACAATTAGTGGTAATGACTGTAATAGGACTTCTGAGTTATTTCACTCTTTTTTTAGATCATGTATTTTTGGCAGTTGATCATAAAGTAATGTGTAGGTCACTTGAAAAGTAGTGCCTCCTATTTCACAGAATCAAAGAATTGTTTGAGTTGGAAGGATCCCTTAAAGATCATTTAATCAAACTCTCATGCAATGAGCAGGGACACCTACAGGGTGCTTAGAGCCCCATCCAGTTTGACTTTGAACACCTCCAAGGGCAGAGCTTCCACCACCTCTCTGGGCAACCTGTTCCAGTGCCTCACTACCCTTTTGGTAAAAACTTCTTCCTTATATCAATTCTAAATCTCCCATCTTAGTTTGAAACCATTTCCCCTTGTCTTGTCACAAAAGACCTTGCTAAAGAGTCTGTACCCTTCTTTGTTATAGCTATCTTTTGAATATTGAAATTCTGTTATCAGATCTACCCAGAGCCTTCTCTTCTCCAGACTGAATATGTGCCATTTTTTACACATGAAGCGATCCACTGATACACCTTTGCTTCATCTGCACTTCCATGTCTGATCACATTTTATCAGATTGCCACTCTGCTGCACAGCAACAAAATGTATTGGAATGTTGGCAAGAAGGTTCAACCTCTTCCATATCACCACCATCCACCTCTGACATTATGGAGCAACATAATAAAATAGGAGGCATTATAGTATAGTGTAGTATAATATCTTGATTTTATGGAATGAATACTACTGAAATTGACAAATAAGTAAAGCAAAAAGATTTTGCTTTATAGAATTATTGCATATTTGGTTAAGGTATTAAGAAAAGTAGTAAGTGTATTTAGAAAAACATGATTTGCTTAAAGAAGGACTGAATGCTTTCATTTCATAGCTGATGCTTGCAAATGAATAACAGAAATGTTTGAAATGAAATGAAACTTGAAGACATGAATATTCTTTTCTCTTTTTCTGTAGTAGTTAAATTTCAAGTTTGATGGTAGTCTTAAAAATATTTATTGAACTTAAATAAATAGCCTTGCATATTATAAGATGTTGAGTTATAGCCCACAGAGATACAACTCTTCGTTTTCTTGAACAGTACTCTGTTTTGTGTCACTCCTGAATTTTTTTCTTGCTTAGAAAACTTTTTTTTTTCTGAAGCACTGATAATAAAACAAAATTTTATTGTCAGAAAAGTACTTTATGAGTTGTACATTGGAATAACTCTTTTGCTTCTAGTTTCGTTTCCTCTTTTGTAATTTAACTCCTATTTCCCTCTGTCAAAGACATGCCTAGGCTTTTTGCAGTGTTATTTCAATAACAAGAAGTCTTTCTATGATACTCCTTATTAACTGCTCTAGTAATTGTCTGTGATGTATGATCTTAGTCTTTGATGTCATATAAAATATAAGTTAAGGAGAGAACTGATCAATTTTTGCTAACTGTTTTGATCCTGATTTACGTAATAACTGTTCTGTAATGAGCAACTTTGATGGTATCATGGGTGAATGCTCATTTCCTTGTGGGTTGTTACCATTCATGCTTTTTATCGTAGTCATCTGAATTCTCATTATATTTAAAGTATGTGAAATGTGTTTCATTAAAACACACAAATGATGTAATATCGGATTATTTAGACTGTAGGGGAAGCTGGGATAATTGAAAGTATCCAGCTGAAGAACTTCATGTGCCATTCGATGTTGGGGCCTTTCCAGTTTGGATCAAATCTCAATTTTATTATTGGAAACAATGGAAGTAAGTACTAATTCTATCATTGCTATGTGGAAGAACACTTTTGTTGAGACTTTAAAATGTATAATTTTTATTTGAAAAAGAATTGCTAGTTCATCTCTGAATCTTTGGGGACTGTATCATAGAATCACCAAGGTTGGAAAAGACCCACAGAATCACCCAGTCCAACCATCCACCAGTCACCAATAGTTGTCACTAAACCATATCCCTCAACATAACATCCAAACGTTCCTTGAGCATCTCCAGGATCAGTGACTCCACCACCTCCCTGGGCAGCCCATTCCAGTGCCTGACCACTCTTTCAGAGTAGTATTTCCTAACGTCCAGCCTGAATCTTCCCTGGTGCAACTTGAAGCCATTCCCTCTAGTCCTATCACTGGTTATACAAGAAAAGAGGCTTACCCCCAGCTCATTACAGCCTCCCTTCAGGTAATTATAGAGAGCAGTAAGATCTCCCCTGACCTCCTTTTCTCCAGACTGAACAATCCCAGCTCCTTCAGCTGCTCCTCATAAGGCCTGTGCTACAGACCCCTCACCAGCTTTGTCTTTCTTCTTTGAACACGCTCCAGGGCTTCAATGTCTT